AGTTTTTAGCAGGAATGCTTTCAATTTGTCTCCATTTAGAATTATGCTGGCCTTGGATTTACCATAGATAGCTTTTACAATATTGAGGTATGTTTCTACTATCCCTAGCTTTTCTAGTGTTTTGAACATGAAGGTGTGCTGAATTCTGTCAAATGCTTTTTCTGCAACTATTGAGATGATCATATGATTCTTGTTTTTAAGTCTATTAATATGATGAATTACATTATTGATTTCTGTATGTTGAACCAACCTTGCATCCCTGGGATGAATCCCACTTGCATACTTATATCCATTTCTAAGAAATACAACAGAGGAACCTGGTAAATGATACCATGAGGAAATTTTAGGACAAACACAGATTGTGGGATATTTTACAAGACAATTGCCCTGGTCCTTTCAAAAAGCCAATGTCTGCATAGGGATATACCTGAAGTAGAGTGCTTGCCTAGCATGCACAAGGCCCTGAGCACCAGACCCAGACCCAGACACACAGACAGACAGACACAGACACACACACACGTCAATGTCTAGGGTTGGGGTTGTGGCTTAGTGGTAGAGCACTTGCCTAGCATGTGTGAGTCACTAGGTTCAATTCTCAGCACACATATAAATAAAATAAAGGTCCACTGACAACTAAAAAAATATTTTAAAAAGTCAATGTCTAAAAAGAAGAGTTGAGGGAACCATTCTAGAACATAATCAAATGCTATTTTGGGAAAACAATTAGGAAAGCTTGAATAAAAAACTGGATAACTGATGACATGAGGAAATTAATTTTCTTAGTTGTGCTAATAGAATAGTAGTAATACAGGAGAATGATGATTTTAGGAAATGAATAATGAAGCACATAGGAGTGAAGTATCATGAAGTCTGCAATTTATTTTCAAGTGGTTAAGCAAAACACATATATTGCTGAGCATGGTGACTCATGCCTATAATTCAAGCTACTCAGGAGGCCAAGGCAGGAGGATCACAAATTCCGGGACAACCTAGGCAATTTAGTGAGACTGTCTCAAAAATGAAAAAGGGCTGGGATATAGCTCAGTGGTAGAATGCCCCTAAATCTCCAGTACTACAACACAAAGGGGAAGGAAAGAAAGGAGGACGGATGAATGAATGAACACGTATATATTTGCTGGTTTTCATAATAAAAACATAGTGATCCATACCTCTAATCTCAGCTACGTGGGAGGCTAAGGCAGGAAGATCACAAGTTTGAGGCCAACCTGTCTCAAAATAAATTTTGAGATCCTGTCTCAAAATAAATTTAAAAAGAGTTGGGCATGAGGGTGGCACACGCCTGTAATCCCAGCAGCTCAGGAGGCTGATGCAGGAGGATTTTTGAGTTTATAGGTAGCCTCAGCAACTTAGCGAGGCCCTAAGAAACTCAGTGAGACCCTGTCTCTAAATAGAATACAAAAAAAGGGCTGGGGATGTGGGTTAAATGCCCCTGAGTTCAATCCCTGGTACCAAAATAATAAAAAATAAAATAAATTTTATAAAGGACTGGAGATGTAGCTCAGTGGTAAAGCACCGTTGGCTTCAATCCCCAGTATATAAAAAAAAAGGAATTAAGATGTTTACATTGGGGTTAGAGGGTTAAGAGGTAGTTTAACTCCCATAAATTCTACCTCAAGATTCTCCACAAACATGTTATTTGACTGAACTGAAGACATAATATCCAATACCACTCAACCTAACCATAAAAATGGTCCTTTCATGGAAGCAATATTAAGACCATGGGAAGGGTGGGGGTACAGCTCAGTGACAGATTGCAAACTTGGCATGAGAGAAGCCCTAGGTTCAATCCTCAGCACTTAAAAAAATAAGGCTTGGGCTCTCATCCAACAGATGTAGGCAAGGTTCTACTCTTAGTTTCACCCATTTTCTTTTCTTTTTCAGGGTGGTGCTGGGTATCACCCAGGGCCTCATAAGTGCTAGGCAAGCACTGTACTAGTGTGCTATATACCTCAGCACAAGTTTCACTCTCTTTTAGCTGACATTCCATCCTCTCTCCTGGAAAAAAAAAAAAAAAAACACGAAAAACCATGACTCACAAGTTTTTTTAAAAAAACGATTGGCACATGGTTCTATGTTGAAGTGGCAGGAACACATGCTTTAAAATATAGCAGGCATGGGCTCTGATCCCAGCTGAGAACTATAGGAAATTTATTAAATCTCTGTGCCTCAGTCTCCCCATTAAATGATATCTCCCACCTAGGGTCACCATGACAATTTAAATGTAAAATGCCCTAGGGCTGGGGATGTAGCTCAGTGGTAGAGCACTTACCTAGCACCATTTGCACACAAAATCCTAGGACTTAACTCAGTAGTTAGAGTGCTTGCCTAGCAATGGTGAGGGAGGCCCTGGGTTCAATCTCCAGCACCAAATTTGTTTTAAAATAAATGGAAAGAGCCCCAATAAAGTATTTGACACACAGTAGGTATTCAATAAATGACACATCTATCCTACACAAGTCTGGGCTCAGTTCAGTCTCCCTCATCACAGCAGGACTACCTGACACATCGTGCAAACCAGGTGTCAATCTTTTAGGCACCAACTTCCAACCTTTGGGCTTCTCTCATTATCTCTAGAGATGACAAGAACATCTCACAGCCAAAAGCCTCTACAAGCACTCAATATCATAAGCATCTCTATAACACTTTATATGAGCTGTATACTGATAAAATGTTTCAAGGAATTTTTTTTTTTTTCTGGTGCTGGGGATTGCAGCCAGGAGTGCTTTATCACTGAGCTACAACCCCAGCCCTTTTTATTTTGAGACAAGTTCTCGCTAAGTTGCTTAGAGCCTCATTAATTGCTGAGGTTGGTCTCAAACTTGTGATCCTCCTCCATCCAAGTCATTCTATCACATCTACCTGTCCCATTTCCTGCACAACATTTATGACAGTCAACAGTTATCTTATTTCCTTCTTCTTTATCTTCTTTCCCCAGTACAAAAAAAAAAAAAAAACAACCAAAAAAACTGTCAAGGCTGGCCTCAAAGTTGTGATCCTCTTGCCTCAGGCTTCCAAGTAGCTGGGATTAGGGGCATCTGCCACCATGACCAATCAACTCTAGGACATTTTTGATGATCATATCTGAGGAGTGGGGGATGCTGTCATCTAGTGGAGAGAAGCCATGGATGCTGTCAAACATCCTACAATGAACAGGACTATTCCCACAGCAAGGAATTATCTTGATGAAGTGCCAATGTTGAGAAACTTTGCTCTAAGCAGAGTCAAAACCAGGCAAGACTATTTCACAGAAAGGCTAGAAAATTATTCGCTACATTTCTGGGGTATAAGAACACAGCAGGATTCCAAACGGACCACTTCTGGAGGTAGGTGAGAGGAATCCATGGGGTATCATTTAAAAGTGAGGAGTTAAGATACCAAACAGAAGTCTTACCAGACCACTCTGAAGACACCACCCAAGGCATTCCAACACATTAACCTGTCCGATTTCCTGCACAACATTTATGCCAGTCTAAAGTTATCTTATTTCCTGATTCTTTATCTTCTTTCCCCTCTAGAATATAAGTTCTCTGAAAGCATGGACTTGGTTTATTCTCCACTATTTCCACAATTTGAACAACTTATAAACATTAAAACATTCAACAAATTTGATAAGAAAATAAGACCAGGCTTTTGGTGGTTTCCGGTAGGAAATGGGGGGAGTTCTACACAACAATTTCTGAGGTCGGGTTCGGGATTCCAAGCCCTCTGAAGACTCAGGCTCAGGGTTCAAAATTCAAAAGTGCCGCCTCTGGAGATGAGTAAAAAGGAAGGAATTGGAGCGTACCAATGCGAAGCGGGAGGGGGCGCTTGGTTGAAGCATAAGTGTACTGTATGGGACCGCAGGACAAGACAGAGCGAAATGTCGTCCCACATTTCACGGTGGGGTCAAACAGGGCTGGGAAGCTAGAACCAGACAGACCAGCAGGGAGCCGCGCAGCAGGAAGCCGACAGCTGGCAGCTGCCTCGGGACGCGCCTCTTTTGGCGGGAGGGGGCAGTGGGCGCGGAAACACACAGTTCGGCCTGAACCACTAGGACCGGAACGGGGGCCGCACAAAACTCGCGCAACTGACACCTGGGGAAGAGGCTCGAGCGAGAACACCTGAGCGGGGAGAGTCGAACTCCCCCCGCCAGGAGAGGCAAGGAACCTTTTAGGCTTCACAACGGTTCAGGTTACATAGGCTGGGTCGTACTACTTTGGCGTCGGATAGGGGGGTCCAGGCCGGGACGTGCGCAGGGCCGCAGCCGGGTTTATCTCACCAGAGCCATTGGGTCCAATGATGGCGGTGAACCTCTGAAATGGTCCGATAATCTGTCGACCCTTGTACGATTTAAAGTTCTCGATCTCAATCAGTTTCAGGAAACCCATGTCGGCGGCGGCTCCAGCGGCGGTAGGAGAGGCCGCGCCGTAAGCCCGGGAACCGAGGTTACCCGCGCGGGAAACGCCGCAGTGCAGGCCGGGCGGAAGGTAAACCTCGCGAGAGTAAGCCCAGGCCAACGGGATATCCGGCTTCCTGCGCGAGTGGGAACTAGGGGCGGGAACTTCGGTCTGACGTGGAGGTTTGTTGATCCGTTGCCCAGGCTCGAGCTAGGATTTGGGCCCGCCCCTCTTTCTTGTTGCGTGGCAACCACAAACCGCTGCTGCAGCGGACTAAGTTGTAGAGAAGTTGGTGCCTGGAAGACTCAGAGCAGCTTTTGGGATCCGAGAAGGCAGGCAGGACCTGAACCTACGCTTGCCGAGACAAGTCAGAAGTCACAGCAAGGTTATGCCCCCCAAGGGCAAGTGAAAGGTGGGAATTATGCTGTGGCTTCATTTAGTCTAGAAAGCCTGAAGGCTTAGACAACGACAGGGTCAGGAATTGGAAGGACTCCGTGGAGCAGAGGGCTGAACAGGAAGGAAAGAGCCAGTGAGAGGATTCATTGTTTAGTTGTGCTCAGATTTCGCTGATGGTGAGGTGAGATTGCAAAATAGATGTAGAGTTAAGGGGGACGGGGTTCACCAGGAGACAGGGATACAAACTGGGGAAGGCTGTGGCCTCAGATTTACCCATGTCCTTCTTTCCTGTTTCTCCAAGCGAGCTCAGAAACTGCCGCTGTAACCCAAGAGCAGACTTGGACCCAAATCCAACTAGGAGCTTCAAAATTGCGATTCTTTACTGAGAAATCCCAGAGGCCAGGGTCCCTAAGGCAGTGCTCTGCACCTGCATCCTTCTTCCCTTCATGCCTCTCCCCCATGCCATTTCCACTGCTGCATACCCCTCTGCCACCTTCCCTTTCTTTCCCTCTTCCTCTTTCCTCTTGGTTCTCTGACTTCTATTTCCCCACTCCCTTGTTACCTTCCTTCCTTTTCCTCCTCTGCACCCCTGACACTCTCCACTCAGCTTCCTCACCTTTTCAATCCCTCGTCACTAACTTTTCATCCCTCTATAATCTGTCACCTTATACCTATTCATTACTAAGGTCATGGCCTTAGCAATACAAGAAGCTTAAAATGCCTACTGAATCTTCCTGGTCAGTGACCTTACATTATGGTGGCAGATGGAACTGGTAGGCTAGGATTGGTGCCATTCTCAGATGTGGAAAGGATCTGGTGGTTGCTGTAGCCACTCCTGTAACTATTTTTAAAATTATATCTGAAGGCTGGGAAGAGTCCTAAAGACAAGACTCTTCCTCAGGACAAGTCCAGAAAATTGAGAAAGTGGTTGATACAATCAAGTAGGAGACCCATAAATGAAGTTCACTTGGAAGAAAAAGTCACAATCAGACAGAGGGGATAAGATGAACAAGGACAGCTATTTCATATTATTCACAGAGAAGGAGAGAATTATTGCTCCTTTCTTCTTTTTTCTTTTTTTCAGTGCTGGGGTTCAAACCCTGGGTTAAAACAAGTGAGAAAGGTAAACTTTAGAAATTTTAGAAGAACATATAGGAAAATACCTATATGATCTCTGGATAGGAAGGAATTTTAAAAAAATAATAACCACTAAGTTCAAAGAATAAAAAAAGGGTAAATGTGACTATATTCACATTCACTAATATTCACCATAAAGAAGTGAAAAGATGGGTAAGTACACAGAGAAAGCCTCTAAAATATTGATAACATTTTCTGAGTTCCATGGAAGTGTTCATTTTGTTATTGGTTGTGCTGTATTCCCAGCAGCTTGGGAGGCTGAGACAGGAGGATCGTGAGTTCAAAGCCAGCCTCAGCAAAGTCGAGGCGCAAAGCAACTCAGTGTGACCCTGACTCTAAATTAAAATTTTAAAAATACAAAATAGGGCTGGGGATGTGGCTCAGTGGCTGAGTGCCCCTGAGTTGAATCCCTGGTACCCCCCAAAAAAAATTACTTTAAAATAATAAGCAAATAAAAAAATCACAAATTTGGAGATATTTACCACATTTATTTATTTATTATTTGCTTGTTGTTTATTTATTTCTGCAGTGCTGGGGATTGAATTCAAGGGCACTCTACCATTGAATCTACATCCCTAGCCCTTTTTTAATTTATTTTGAGACAGGTTCTCACTCAACTGCCATGGCTGGCCTAGAACTTGTGATCCTCGTGCCTCAGCCTCCTGAGTCAGTAGGATTATAGACGTGTGCCACCACACCCAGCTGACAAACCTGATTTTGTTTTGGGCGGGGAGGTAGCAGCCCTATTTTGTACTTTATTAGAGACAGGGTCTCACTGAATTGCTTAACACCTTGCTAAATTGCTGAGGCTGGCTTTGAACTCATGATCCTTTGCCTCCACCTCCCAAGCTGCTGAGATTACAGGCTTGTGCCACCACACTGGCCTGATTTTTTAAAAACAATGACGGTGGAAAAAAAGAAAATAAAAAAATATGGTGCCTATAAATGACAATCAAGTACTGTATATTTCAAAAAGATAGAAGAAAGGGTTTTGAATGTTTTCACGATAAGAAATGATAAATGTTTAAGAAGATAGCTATGTTTACTCTGATTTGAACATGAGATAATGTATATGTATATTAAAACATCACATGATACCCCCAAAATATGTATAATCTTTATATTTTTATGTATCATTTAAAAATAAATTCTAAAAATGCAAAAATTAAATGAACAAAAGATATGAATTGGCACTTCACAGAGAAGCAAAGATGGTTAAACACGTGAAAAGATATGAAACCACATTAGCAATAAATAAAATTTCAATTAAAGTCAGTAATTATAGTTTTATACTCACAAACTAAAAAAAATTAAGTCTGCATTACTAAGTGTTGGTTAGGATGTACACTGACTGGAGTTTTTGTACATTATTGTCATAGTGTAAAGTGGTATAATCTCCTTGGGAATTAACTTAGTATTATCCTATGAAGTTAAATATGCATACATTCTACAACCTAGCACTTTCTTTCCTGTCTCTCTCTCTCTCTCTCTCTCTCTCTCTCTCTCTCATATACATGCACACACACACGTACGCACGAGAAACTTTCCCACCTGCACATATGAAATCTCTCAATCTCTAAGTTCCTCTGTATTTTTCTCTTGCAATTAAAAAAAAATCCTTAACTGAGTTGTTTGTCTTGCAGGGTCCTAGTTTCTTGAACCAACTTCAATTGGGCTTTCATCCCTATACTCCACCAAAGATGCTCTTGTCAAGGTCATCAGCAACCTTCATGTTACTACATCAGTCAAATCTCATTCCTCATTTTACTTAATCCATCATCAATTGATCACTCTCCTCCAAAAGCATTTTCTTTACTTGGCTTTAGGAAGATCACCTCTCCTAGTTTATCTCCCATCTCACTGGCCACTCCTGTCCTTGTCTCCTCTGGGGCATTCTTATCCATCTACACTTACTCCCTAGAGATTTCATATAGTCTCATAGCTTTTCATTTCTTTGTGTTAAGGGCTGGGAATGCAGTTCAGTGCTAGAACATTTGCCTTAGCATGCTCAAGACTGGGTTTGATCCCTAGCACGGCAAACAAGCAAACAAAAACCCCCATATTTCTTTGTATTGTTCAGGATAGGCTACATTATACTGAGGTTACAGATAACCCCAAAATATCAGCAGCTTATAAAAGCAAAAGCTTAGCTGGGTGCAGTGGCACACATCCAGCAACTTGGGAGGCTGAGGAAGGAGGATCACAAGTTCAAGGCTACCCTGGGCAACTTAGCAAGACCCTGTCTTAGAATAAACTAAAGAGGACTGGGGATGTAGTTCAATGGTAGAGATGCCTCTGGGTTCAATCCCTAGTACCACAAAAATAAATAAATACAAATAGAATAAAAACAAAAGCTTATATCTCACTTAAGTTTCTTTTTCATTGTGGACTGGCTGCATCTCTGCTCTGTGTCATCATTCCAAGACTTCATCATTACAGGACCCAGGCTGAAGAATTACCTGCATGGGCAATTCCCTCACCTCCTTCAAGTATTTGTTCACATGTTACTTTTTCAACTATGCTTCTCCTGACTTCCATATTTAAAAATTGCAACACTCTCTCATTTCCTTGGCACCTTCAATTCCCCATATCCTGCTCTATTTCCATATTGCTTATCATCTTCTTACAAATTATTCAATGTACATTTTATGTTTTACTTTTTATTGTCTGTCTAGAAAGTAACCTCCACAATGACAGATTTTTGTCAGTTTTATTCCTCCATGTCTCCCAAATGCTTAAGAGCATCTGGCCACTAGTAGACACTCTATGAATATTTGTTAAATGATAGGATAAATGCCAAGTAGAAAAAGCAAGACTCAGAATATATACAGCCTGATATTTTATAAAGGTCAAAACCAATAAAACTTGTAAAAACGTTTTTCAGAGATTCATACACATACAATGTATATTAATGAATATTAGGAGGAAATGATAATAGATTTTGGATACTATATAGGGTACTGTTGGAGTAAGAAAAAGAAAGAAGAAACATAGGACACTTCAATGGTATGATAGTGTTCTATTTCTTAAGGTAGGTGTTGGTGTCTTTATTTTGTCATACTTGCAATCTTACATCAGGATCATATATATTTCCCTGTATATATCAACTACTTCACAGTTACAAAATGATTGTTTAAAAAAGACCTCATGTAGGATTGTTTTAAAAAGACCTCAATAGTTGAGGAAAGATGCTCCACACAAAGGAACACCACATTCAAAGGCCCAGAAGTGGGAACAGTTATGTTGAAATACTTGATGGGAAGCCAGTGTGCCTGGAACATGGGTTATGAGACCAACTGTAGAGGTGTGGAGGGATTGGATCTTGAAAGCCCATGGGTGTGGAGGGATTGGATCTTGAAAGCCCATGGTAAGGAATTTGGATCTGATTCTCAGTGCAGTGGGAAGCCTATGGAGGATTTTAAGCAGGTGAGAAACATCATCAGATTTATGTTTGCAAGAGGTTTTTGTTGTTGTTGTTGTTGTTTACTGTGGCTTTGGCTCACATATCAAAAGTGGGTTTCCCAAAATGTGAAGGGACACAGATGAATTTAAGACCTTGAAACTTTCATTTCACTAGAAAATAAGTAATAAAATAAAAACAAAAGGGGAAATTTATTTCAGTAAAGAAAACGTCTGGTTGCTGTGTGATGAGTGGGCTATAGGAAACAATAGAGGAAACTGGAAGACCAATCTGGAGACCTCTGCAGTCATTAGGAAGGTGACAATCGTGGCTTTGACTGGGGCTATTTTGAAAGAAGAGGGAGTGAAGGAAAGGAGGAGTTAAAGGATGTCCCCTGAGTTTTGGGCCTGAGCAACTTGGTGAATGGCGGTACCACTTACTGAAATGAGGAAAACTGAGTAGAGTATGAGAAAGGGTGAGATGTGTCAATGCCTTTGAGGCTTAGAAAGGTGAGCAGGGTTCAGATCATGAAGAGCCTTATAAATCTGGCAAAGGGGGTCGGACCTCATTTTGTGAGCACAGGGGAGCCATTAGCTTTAAAGCTATTTTCAAAGGTTTTAAGCTGAAGAGTACCATGGTCATGTTTGCTCTCAGAAGGATCACTCTGGTGGCCAGGACAGAGAGGATAACATGGAACAAGGGAGGCCAGTGAGGAGACTCCTGGGAATATCACCTAATATCAGACTGTGAGGCCTGAATTAGGGTGGTGACAGCAGAGACGAAGACACAGATATGAAATATGTCAGAAAGTAAAATCAGTAGGAATCAATAACTGGTGACATATACTATAAGGATAAAGGAAAGGAGATGGGATGTAGTCCAGGACTGTGGTCAGCACTAATGGGCCATTCCACTTCCCCTTTACTCCAGATGTATAAGCTAGGCCTGCCAGCAGATCCCAAGGAGGTGGCAGCCTTTGAAGCTAGAAGAAATCGAGAAAAAGAACGACAAAGCCGATTCTTCAATGTGCGGAACCGTGTCATGGGGGTGAGTAGGCAGTGGGAGTCATTTCACAGAACTGGGGCTACATCACATGACTGGAAAGAAACACAGCAGTGCCCTTTATAGTCCTTTCCCTGACTCAAGCAGGCCCTAGGGCTAGAAAGGAAGGAAGGGGTGGTACCCACTCCCATAGGCCCAAAAGGGGATTGGGAAGGATGGGTGGTACAAGGGGTGACAGTTGGCTCTTTTCTGGTCAACCAGGCCATGTGGTCTGGTTCTTGAGAGGCAGGCTATGTGAATCCAAAAAAGAGCTAAAGTGTATTTAGGTATTATGTATGCATAAGCCATTTTGGCAAAGTAAGTAATATACTGCTAACCAGACTGAGGGTGAGAGACTGAAGGGATACTTAGTCTCTACTGATCTGTATTCCCTTCTGTACTACTTTAAATGTTTCCAAAGAATTATAACCAAAATAAAGAGAAAATATTGATGGTTTAAGAAATAAAAAAGGATTGCTAGGTGGATAGAAAGAGGAAATGCAGCATGGTGTTCTGGAAAAGACACCTTAAATGTTTGAGGCCAGGTCTGCTGTTTGTTAGAGGTGTGGCTTTGGATAAGTCACCTTATTTTCTCTGAGCTCCAGTCTCCTCTTCAGTTAAATAAAGGAAGCACTGAGGTGGCAGCTCTGATAATTAGAGCATGGTGCCTGGCACAAGTAAGTACTTGGCTACGTTTGAGTTATTAGACAGAGATCCAGGTGACAAGCATTTCTTCACAGGGACTGCTCTGTTGAAAGCACTATCGGGCAGTGATGATACAAAGATGACTAAAGCCCAGTCTCTCTCATGTAAGAGCTCACAGTCTAGTAGAGGAGATATCTGAAGCAAACTTCAATGTAATGTAGACAATGGGTCCTAGATTATGGGAGTAGAACCTTCCCGAAGGATCAGAGAAACAAATATTGAGCTGGTCTTGAAGTGTGAATTGGAGTTTGGGTACAGGGGAGGAAAGTGTTCTAAGTAAAGGAAGCAGAGCAAAGGCTTTAGATTCAAAACTGCCTAAGATGTGCAGGGAACTGGAAGCACAGCTCCCAAGGCTAGTGAGAAGGGGAGACAGGGGAAAAGGGTGCAGAGATGAGGCTGGAGAAGGAGGCAAAGGCTAGACCATGGAAGCACTTAAGAGCCATGCTTATGGGTTGGAACTTTATACAGTAAGTCCTGAGAAGCTACAGGAGGATTTTTAAGTGGGTAAGTTCTAAGCAGTTTGTTAGAGCACTCAAGGACCCTACTGGGACTCTGCCCTGATTTAGTCCCTTTCTTTGGGATCCAGGTGGATGTTGAAGCCCTCAACAACCAGGTAGAGGAGAAAAAGCTTCGGGAGGCAACTGAGCAGAGCAAGGATGCAGCTTACGGTAAATGTCCAAGGCCACAGGTCAAACCAAGAGCCTGAGTAGGCTCAGGTAGGGCAGTTCTTCCTGTGTGGAGGGCCTGAGGTCCTAGGGTGGTGAAACAAACCAGATGGCCTTTGGGAGCAGAGGCATGCTAACTGGACCTCCTGTGGTGCCTTCCCATGTCCCTGCCTATCACCCCCAGCTACTAAGCAGGTGCAGTATGATCTGGTAGCCCAGATGCTAGAGAAGGAAGAGGCAGAACGGGCACGTCGACTTGCCAAGAAAATCCAGGATTTTCGGGAGCAGAAGCAGCAGCTCAAGAACAGGCGTGAATTTGACCCTTGGGATCCAGACCGACTCCAGAGGGAATTTCCAGTCTATCTCAATGACAGTGATCCCTTCTATGGCCCGGCCAGCATGCAGTGCTTCTTTGGGGAGGACCTGGACAGGACCACATACCTGAGAATGCAGCAGGAGCAGTTCAGGTACAGCCTGGAGAGGCAGCTGCAGGAGCAACAGCAAGCCAGGGTTGATGAGAAATGTGCAGGTAAGCAGCCAGGCCCTCTGGACTCAAGAGTCCCAAGGTCTAGCAGGCAGCTCTCCTGAGCTAGGTACTACACCCAGGAGGCTAGAACTGTGTGGGGAGGTCATTACCCATTACCCATATAACTGATGCTAAAAGTTTAGGCTGTGTAGGCACCAACTTCCCTGACTTCCTTCAGTAACTGACAGTGTAGCTGTTGTTCATGATTAGCCTGGCATTCAATTACCTGGGGACAACATAGTATACACACGCACCTAACAGCTCTGCTCTGCCTAGTTAGTTTGGGAAATGAATGTTCCTTTCTGTGCTTCAATTTTAATTAATTTTTTATATTTATTTTTTGGTTGTAGTTGAACACAACGTCTTTATTTATTTATTTGTTTGTTTGTTTGTTTGTTTATTTATTTATTTATTTTTATGTGGTGCTGAGGATTAAACCCAGGGCCTCACATGTGCAAGGTGAGCACTCTACTGCTGAGCCACAACCCTAGCCCTAATTTTTAAATTTATTTACTTTGGTACTGGGGATTGAACCCAGAGGTGCTTTACCACTGAGCTACATCCCCAGTCCTTTTTTATTTTTTAAGACAGGATCTTGCTAAATGGCTTAAGGCCTTGCTAAATTGCTGAGGCAGGCCTTTAACTCACTATCCTCCTGTCTCTGCCTCCCAAGTTACTGGGATTTATGAGCATGCACTACCAAACCCAGTTTAATTAATTTTAATTAATTGTTAAATTATTATTTTTTAGTGCTGAGGGTTAAACCCAGGGTTTCATGTATATGTGCTTAGTTCTACCACTGAGCAAAACCTCCAACAAGTTTCTTCATCTTTAAAATGGGGATAAATGAGGCCTGGTGGTGCCTGCCTGTAATCCCAATTTCTAAGTAGGCTGAGGCAGGAGGATCACAAGTTTGAATCCAGCCTAGGCACAACTTAGTGACATGCTATCTCAAATAAAATATAAAAAGGGCTGGGAATGTAGCTCAGTGGCAAAATGCCCCTGAGTTCAATCCCTAGTACTACAAGATAAATAAATTAATTAGATGGGGATAATAATCCAAATCACATAGAGTAGCTACTATTATTATATTCTCTGTGGCCACATCCTTCTCTTCCATCAGAGGAAGCCCTTCAAGAGCAAGGTCTTATGTATTTGTATTGCTCACCTTTCAAATCAACAGTTTCTGACAGTTCCTAGAAACAAGATCATCGTGTGGCTAGAGTGGAAAAGAATGTCAGTGCTGTGCCCTCAGCCTAGAGCACCATTTGCTCTTTTTGCCTGTGTACAAGGACACCTCCTCCTGGAAGCCTTCCTGCTACCCACCACCCAGAGCCTTCACACTTTGTGGGTGCTAAGCATGTCCTCTACCACTTTTAGCCTCCAAGCCTTTGTTATGCCTTGTATACATCTCTGCTATTGTCCTTACCAGATTGTGGTCTGATAATCTGTTTGATCTGTGTCCCCCACTAGACGGGGGGGGGGCAGGATCTAATTCTGTGGTATGCTTATAATCTAACACATGGATCTTATAGTGAGGCTTGGAGGTGAAATGGTTTACCCAAGACTACACATTTCAGAGGTGGCAGAGCTGCACTTTGACCCAGGTTGCTGCACTTTGGCTATCCCTAGCCCCAAAGAGTAACCCCTTCCACATCTCTACAACTTGGACACTAATTCCCTCCCAAGTATACATATACCTACATAAAATTTGTTGACTAAATGGCTGAATGAATGAACCAGGAATGGAGGAAGTTGTATTTCTCCATGTAGATATGCTCAATGACCAGCTGCACTTAGCCATGGACATGCGGGCCGCCCACCTGGCCAGGCTAGAGGAGTCCTGTCGCGTGGCCATGATGTTTGCCATGGCCAATGCCAACAAAGCCCAGGTATGGCTTGACCCCTCCAGTACACCTGGTCCTCCCAACCCCCTGAACAAAATCCTGGGGAACCTTAGCCACACCCTTCCCCTCATATCCTTTCTCAAATCAGTTCTAGAATTGTCATCAGCCTGAGGACACCCCTTCCATCTAAGATGCTTCTTAGAATACAAGTCACCTCTCCCTACCTCCAAACACAAAATGATTTAAGAACAGAATATTGCCCTCTAATCCCGAGTGCAGAGAAGTTCCCTGTCCATTCCACCGCCTATCCTTAGGATAATTAAAATCATGTAGTGTCTTTTCTTTCTCTCCGAGATGGAGAAATAGGGCCACTTTTCTCCCACCCTTGCAACTGAGAGTTCTCTGAGGTTGGGCACCCAAATACTTATATTTGCCCACCAGGCAGCTGAGCTGGCTGAGCGGCAGCGCCTTGAGCATCAGCGCCAACAGGAGGCCAACCTCATGGAGATTCAGAACCAGGTCACCAGTGACTTTCTAACTGAGAACCCCCAAGTTGCCCAGAATTCCATGGCTCCCCACCGGGTTCTGCCCTATTGCTGGAAGGGCATGACTCCAGAGCAGCGAGCCGCCATCAGGAAAGTCCAGGAAGCACAGTGCCATGCGAAGGAGGCACAGCACCAGGCTGAGCAAGCATTGGATACTGAATGGGAAAGCCAAACCATGCACCTGGCCCAGGCAGCGCAGGAGCTAGAAGAGCAGGAGAGGGAATTGTGTGCAGAATTTCGGAGGGGGCTGGGTTCTTTCAACCAGCAGTTGGCTAAGGAGCAAAAAGCCCAGTGAGTTCTAGGGAGTGGCAGTGGGGATGAATACCATGGGAGGGTAGGGAAGGATGGTGAGGACCAGGGAGAGAGGGAAAACATCAAGTGAGGCCTCTGGACTTTTTTTTTTTTTTTACAGGCAAAATTATCTGAATTCAATAATCTACACCAATCAACCTACAGCCCAGTATCACCTACAGTTCAACACTAGCAGCCGCTGAGGTCAAGATGGTCATCTCTCTCTTTTCCCCTATCAAGCTTACAGATGCAAATGCTACATATCCCCACCTCTTACCTCTAATCCATTCCCCAGTGAGAGAGAGCTAAGACAATATCCCCACCTTCTACCCTAAGTAATAAAGTTATTTGCTAAATTCAAGGCCATGTATTGTTGTAACAGGATATACAAAAATGTGAGGTACTGCCTTTCCTATCTTACCTTGGGACTCTATATATCCAACTCTGTGAAAGCCTTTACCTTTCTTCCCCATGCCAGTTCCCCCAGCACAAAGCACTGCCCACAAAGTAAGAAAATAGTTTATTAGGCACAGAGGATGACTGGTACACAAAGTTAGTAGTACCCCAGGAGGAGGTGGGGCACAGGAGCCTTTGTTTTCCCAGACCTCTCCCTTCAAGGCTGCATGCGGATGGCCCCATCCAGCCGGATGACCTCTCCATTGAGGAATGGGTTCTCTATTATGGTCTGTACCAGATGAGCATACTCAGCAGGGTCACCCAATCGGCTGGGGAAGGGCACTTGGCTGGCCAGGAAGTTGCGTACCTTCTCTGGAAGGCTGGTCAGCAGTGGGGTGCCAAATAGGCCTAGACAAGATAGTCAGAGTCAGAGACCCACCCTTGTTTTCATATTTACTCAGTTCTTCTTCACCTTAGGCCTACTTCTTGTGCCTCTGTTACTTAGATAGTGGATACCTGCCCCTCACAAGTGCCCATGGATCCCACCCAATCCCAGGTATGGCAGGAAAAGAGAATATGTCTACCTGGAGCAATGGTCATCACCCGGATGCCTATTGGAGCCAGATCCCGAGCAATGGGCAATGTCATGCCCACTATGCCCCCTTTGGACGCAGAATATGCAGCTTGTCCCACCTGGAAAAAGAGTAGAGGTCAAGGGTGAGAGAGCCCAACAAGTCAAGAGGAGGCACAAACTTTGCCCCTGATCACACACCTGGCCCTCAAAGGCAGCCACACTGGCAGTGTTGATAATAACCCCACGTTGGCCTCCCTGGTCTGGTTCATTCTGGCTCATCTCACCAGCAACCAGACGGATCACATTGAAGGTACCCATAAGATTCACCTGGAAAATGAGCAGAGACATGGTATAGGACCTCAGGCAAAGGCAACCATTTGATCACTAACAACTTTGGGGATAACCACTCCCAGAGAGTTCCTTCCCACTCCTGGAGAACCTCCAAGGTCTTACATTGATAACTCGCTGGAAGTCCTCCAAGGTATGGGCCTGGTTCTTCTTTAAGTTGTATGTCTTAATGGCCACTGCAATACCTGCACAATTCACAGCCACATCCACCCGGCCAAACTTCTCCTTTGCTAGAGTCAGGGCCAATTGCACATCCTTCTCAGAGGTCACCTTCAAAGGGAGAAACATAGAAAAGGTATTCATTTGCCAGCACATCATCTCACTACTAAACCTGGGGGAGGAGGCCCAGTCCTTGGGTGGAAACAGAATTGTGTGAGCAAAAGACAGATGAAGAGGGGCTGGAATTGTGGCTCAGTGGTAGAGTGCTTGCCTGGCATGTGTGAGGCACTGGGTTCAATTCTCAGCACTGAATATAAATAAATTAGAAAAATAAAGGTCCATTGACAACTAAAAATTATTTTTAAAAAAGACAGATGAAGAGAAAGGGTTGTAGTAAAACGTGAGAAGAGTGGAGTGAAAGTGTATATGTCAGGTACTATAAAGCAGTGTTGCAAAATACCTTTCAAACTTATACCATCTTTTGATAAATTCATATATCCCTGGTGATTCTCGATTGCTATGGAGCAAAGAATTAATACAACCCTGTTTTGAAAACTTTTGATAGGAACATAAATGAGCTTTTTTTGTTATCCCCACCTACTAAGAAGATTTCATGAAAATAGTTTTTCAACTTTGTAAATGTAAAACCATTAAGGTACAATATGCATTTTCAAATTATGCAATCCTCCCTTGAAGCAATTCTGATAAGTCCAATTTCTGAGGCTGTGGTGCAGTTTTGGATTCCTTGCTGTAGGTAGTGCTATAGTGCTTGAAGGCTTACAACAAAAGGGGACAAGTTGTTATCCCACAGATAACAACTTTATGGGAGGGACCCCCACGTGTTCCCAGGTAGGTGGTAGTGGTCTCAAGGACACCCTGGGAAAGTTGAAACCACTCACATCGGTTGGGGCGAACATGCAGCTCTTTCCTAACTTCTTGGCCTGGGCCTCACCACCTGAGTTGGGCAGGTCCAGAAGCACAGCAGAAGCCCCTTGAGTCACCAGTCGCTCCGCGGTAGCCAGACCAAGACCCGAGGCTCCTCCAGTTATTACCGCGACTAAGCCCTGAAAAAGGACACCGTCAGCATCTACCCTCTCCAGCCTTTCACACGCGGGTTCTACAGGCTTCTGAGGGGAAGTGGGTGGGGGCGGGAGGTGGCCCAGGTGTGCTTCCTCTCCTCACTGATGAGATCGTGAGGGAGGGCAGGGGGGCGAGGGGTTTCATTCCCCAAATAGTTCTGTGACCCCCACATATTACATATGCAGCGGACCTTCCCTTTACTCAGCCCAACCGCCACCGCAATACCCCGCCCACATAAGCATGGCCCTTTCTTCCTAGTTCCTGGCCATGCCGTCTCAGCCTGCAAAGCGAGGCAAAGAGTGGTCTACCTTCACGGTCCGACACGCCGCAGCCATCTTGTGTCCGCTACACCACTGGAGGCTTGTCCCTTTAGCACAGGCGCTCGCTGATTGGCTAAGGTGGAGGTGGTGCCTGCGGGGTGGAACGACCGCCGCGGAGGACGTAGGGGCGTACCCTTCTTCTCCGGATAGAGTCCTAGTGTGATGTTTGTGGAGACTTATCTCCCCAGGAAATAGAACCCCAAAGCAGCAGCTCATTCCTTTTGTCCTGCTCTTTAGCTGGCCATTTGGCAGGTGGCCAGCTCCCTGGGGGAGATGAAGGGTGGAGATTAAAAGGGAGATTGAAACTGTTCACTTATAAAGAAATTTGAGATCCCCAGGCACTGGGGATACTGGAATAATAAAAGGTTTATGCCTTCTAAGAGGGCACAATCCAGTTGGAGAAAGATAATTATTAAGTACAGTTGGAGAGGTGGGCGCAGTGGTGCAAGCAGGCAATTCCAGCAGCTCCAGAGGCTGAGGCAGGAGGATCATGAGTTCAAAGCCAGCCTCAGCAATTTAACGAGGTCCTAAGCAACTCAGCAGGACCCTGCCTCTAAATAAAATATAAAAAACGGCTCGGGATGTGGTTCGGTGGTTAAGTGCCCCTGGGTTCAATCCGCAGTACAGTTGAAGGAAGACAATTACAGTGCAGACAACAGAAGGGACAAAGGATTTATTTTTTTGTGGTGCTGGGGATCAAACAATGCACTCCACCACTGAGCTACATTCTTAGCCCAAGAACTGGATTCCAGAACACAGACCCAAGAATGGAGATTCTGAAATGAAGAGGTACCAAAGAGAAAAATATGTTGAGGCAGAAATAGAGATGCCAGACAAGATCACAGAGATATGAATGTGGAGAGCCACTAAGAGATAGAAATGCTAGGAAGCAGACATTCATTTTGATACAGATGCTGTTGAGAAGCACAAACACAGAGAAGTCCAAAAGCCCAGATCAAACATTGTCAATTTCACCTTAACCTGAAACCATTATGTAAGACCCAGTTTTTTTTTTTTTTTTTTTTTTTTTTTTTGGTACTGGAGATTGAACCCAGAGGCACTTTACCACTAAGCCATATCCCCATCCTACCCCTTTTTGAAAATTTGAGTCAGGTTTTCACTAAGTTACTTAGGGCCTCACTAATTTGCTGAGGATGGCTTTGCAATCCTTCTGCCTCAGCCTCCAAAGTCACTGGGATTACAGGCCTATGCTCAATTAGAATCTTGAGCCCAGTCTTCTTTCTATACTTTCCCCAATTCAAGGTCTTCAGGCAATAAATCTAAACCTACGTTTTTTTTTTTTTTTTTTTTTTTAGTTATAGTTGGTACAATATCTTTATTTATTTATTTTTATGTGGTGCTGAGGATTGAACCCAGTACTTCACACATGCAAGGCAAGTGCTCTACCACTGAGCTACAGTCCCAGCCCCGAAACTTGCATTTTCACCTTCAGAATTCCTTTATGTTTTCTCTATCTCAAGTATCTTTTCATCTGCTTTGCCACCCAGGAAGAGTTCTCTCTGGGCCTCCTAGTTGCTGATGACTACCAGACTCATGTTCACTACATCATATTCATCAAAGTTATAGCACCATACTCATAATGTTTCTGTCTACATTAAGGACTCCCATCAATTGATAGCACTCTTTGCTGACCCAATATGCTTCAATAACAGGGGCCTACTTTTTGTTCATCTTTGAATTAGCTGTTTCCTCTGCTTGAAATGCTCTCCTCCTGATCTTTTAATTCCTCCTGCCTTTTAAAAAAATTAGTTGTAGATGGATGCAATATCTTTATTTTACTTATTTTTTATGTGGTACTGAGGATTGAACCCAGTTCCTCACATGTGCTAGGCAAACACTCTACCACTGAGCTATAATTGTATTCCACATTCCTGCCTTTTTTTGACATTCAGAATTAAATTTAAATATCACTTCCAGAGGGGCACTCCCTGACCACACAAGGTGTAAACAGTCACTGTCCCATTGCTTATTTAAATTCTTTATATAAAACTTATAGATCATTCATAATCCTTTTTCTAACCCTGGGGCTAGATATATTTTGGAATTCAGATTTTTTTTCAATTGTAGAAAGGAAGACATACAGTTTATATTACAAAACTCTTTATACTGCATATACTCTATATTATATAACTACTGAAAAAGGTCTGGAGCATGCTAATTAAACATTAAAATATCTAAAATGAAAGTTATGAAAATTCACATTGTGTGAATAAAGTCTACAAATAGCCTCACTCTACTTCAGGTCAGGTTTTGTCCCCTAATGAGTTTGGACTCCCACGTGTGAAAAAATAACCATATGGTTTTCAGAACTTTGGTACTGAGGATTGAACATTGTGGAATTGTGCCTGAAGGCTTGTGAACCTGTACTCTTGTCTAACTTGGCCTTATTTTTGTAGTTCTTCCCCTACTAAAAGCGGAACATGTTAAATGAATGAAAGAATGAGGCTTAGGAGAATTTGTAGG